TTCCCTTCTTTTAACATTTGATGGTGAACTTGTTTCTTTTAGATGAAAGACTTTCGAAGTAAAATGCAATCAATATTTCCAGCAATTCCCAGGAACTCCCAACCCACTGTCGAGTGGGAGGAAGCATTGAAATCCAAATGAGATGAGCATGGCGGGGAATTCCCAAACGGCTTCGGAGACGCCCGGCAGCCAAGGGACTCACGGATTTCTCCTCGGGAAGACGCGCCCAGTGTGGTCTGCCCGCGGATGGACACGGCCGGTGTGTTCACACTGTCCCTCGCTTTGCTGTAAACTTCATGTGGCGCGCCTGTGCATCTGTGTCGTTTTGGGGGTGGGGGGGTGGAGGATAAATTTTTCCCAAAGTCAGGAAGACCTTTTAAAATGATACGATAACTTCTCTGGGTGGAGGAGATCCCCGGGGTGTACTTCTGTGTGTGACTGTAATAGCTGAAGCCAAGTTCTGTACCTGAAAAAAGTTTCTAACAGCCTGTGATGGAAAATGCTGATAACAGGCCCCAACTGCAGCAGCACCTCATGTGCGTAATTGAGAGAGTTTCAGCAGGTCTTGCCTGTCAGTCATGGCTGTTGGGACTTGGGACACTCGCTCCTGCCGCAGACCCTGCAGTGACGGCCGGGAGGACCTGAGCCTGGGCAGCTGGGCGCTGCCCTCGGAGCCGGTCTGATCCGCACGTGCTCCTTATGAACCTACAGCCCCACCTGCAGCCTGTAAATGCTCCCGCTGGGCAAGAGCCAGTGACAGATTACAATGACTCGGAAAAGCACAGCTGTGCTCAAATAAGGGCAAGGACATCATGGGCATTAGACATAGTATTTTGAGAAATTGGTCCCGGGTCCCTAAACGTTAACTGACAGTTTATAGTTTTGTCTCAGTTGTCAATGTAAAAATTGCCCAGTTATGGCCTACCTAAACAAATATTTTTAACCAGAAAATTATCTGAGTGTTAAGTCTCAGTATTAATTATTTAGTACTGCCTTGCTGATGAAACTGGCAAATTCTTATATACACACCCAACCAACCCTTTTCTGTCCTCCACGAGCTCTTACAGGAAACAGAATAATGTCTAATTGCAATTATTTTTTACTGGAGATTTAAAAATTTTAAAGAAAAAGGATATGTCAATATGTCCAGAAAAATAACCTCTGGTTGAATATCAATTGTCCAATTTCTTTATCATTGTTTAGGCCCTAATTAGCAATCAGGTTTAATAAAGTGTATTTGAAATTAATCTGTTATAATGAAATCTTTTAGTCCTAAGGAAAATTTTTAAATGAAATGTCAAGTATATAACATTACATTTTTCTCTGCACCACATTACCCTGTTGAAAGTGCTGCATTATTAATTAATTCTGGGATCCATCTGTAACCTGTTAAAAGTCCCAGACTAAACAGAAAGGATTGTGAAGTTGATCAGGGTAAGTGGAGCAGCAAAAACTCTTCACCCGTCTTTCATTTTTAACTACATCTCAGCTAAGGAAAGATTTCTAGCTGTTGCTTCACAACCTCCTGGGAGCTTCCCAAGTGGAATCTGGAACCAGCCCCTTTCTCGGGGCAGGGAGAGACCAAAGAAAGAGGCACGCCTCCAGAGGGCAGGGGGCAGGCTTAATGAGCGGAGGAACCTCCTTCCCAGGCTGGTCGTGGGCGGCCTCAGGATTGAGTAGTTTTCCACAATTTGTCCTCCAAATCTTAACAGTTTATGTAGAGACCCTAAGTGGACTCAGTCACATACACCATCTAGATCAGCGGTTCTCAACCTGTGGGTCGCGACCCCTTTGGGGGTCGAACGACCCTTTCACAGGGGTCGCCTAAGACCATCGGAAAACACATATATAATTACATGTTGTTTTTGTGATTAATCACTATGCTTTAATTATGTTCAATTTGTAACAATGAAAATACATCCTGCATAGCAGATATTTACATGACGATTCATAACAGCAGCAAAATTAGTCATGAAGTAGCAACGAAAATAATTTTATGGTTGGGGGTCACCACAACATGGGGAACTGTATTAAAGGGTTGTGGCATTAGGAAGGCTGAGAACCACTGATCTAGATAATCTCGGTGCCACATTCTGTCTCAAGGCTTCTGGGAGCCAGGAGGGCAAGCAGGGCGCACATCCCAGGGACAGGAGGGGTGGGGAGCCTCCATTGCCCGGGTCTAGCTCTCCGGCCAACCAGCAGCCACATCTTCTCGATGACCTCCCTCAACACCAGCCTCTGAATGAATGAAGGGAAGAAAGGCTGGGACCTAATTGAACGGGCTTTTGTCCATATTATTAGTCTGAGCCTAGGTTCCCCTAATAGAATGGGAGCTACTTACAACTACTTACAGCTAGAACCTAGATTTTTATTTTCCTTAGGTGGAGAACAGCTATTGATTTTTTAAAAGCCCTCCACTGAGTGGGAGAAAATGAGAATTTCTAGCTTGTCTGGGATAATAAAAGGGAAAATCATTATCAATCTTGATTCTATTTAATACAGTGGTTCTCAACCTTGGCTGCACATGAGAATCACCTGGGAATCCTTTTAAAATCCTGGTTTCTGGGCCTCATCCTCTGGAAATTCTGTTTCTTTGTTATGGGGTGGGGCCACAACATTAGTAACAAAGAAACAGAATTTCCGGAGGATGAGGCCCAGAAATCAGGATTTTAAAAAGATTCCCAGGTGATTCTCATGTGCAGCCAAGGTTGAGAACCGCTGATTTAATGGGTTCCTGCCTTGTAAGCTCGTTAGGGCAGCAACTCCTCTCAGGGCCTTGGAAACGTGGGACCGCGCCCACTGCTGGCACCCATGGCAGCCCAGCCCTGGGAGGGCCCCGGGGGCACGGGGTGCACTCTGCCCCCACGGCCGGCACGTGGGAGGCCTGGAGGGATGAATGTCTGAATACATCTCGTGTGGCATGCCTGCATTTACAGAACCCTTCCACATGTATCGTGTGGCATGTCTGCATTTACAGAACCCCTTTCACATGTATCATGTGGCATGTCTGTGTTTACAGAACCCTTCCACATGTATCATGTGGCATGTCTACATTTACAGAACCCCTTTCACATGTATCGTGTGGCATGTCTGTGTTTACAGAACCCTTCCACATGTATCGTGTGGCATGTCTGCATTTACAGAACCCCTTCCACATGTATCATGTGGCATGTCTGCGTTTACAGAACCCTTCCACACGTATCGTGTGGCATGCCTGCGTTTACAGAACCCTTCCACATGTATCGTGTGATGTCTGTGTCGTATCGTGTGGCATGCCTGCGTTTACAGAACCCTTCCACATGTATCGTGTGGCATGTCTGTGTTTACAGAACCCTTCCACGTGTATCGTGTGGCATGTCTGTGTTTACAGAACCCTTCCACGTGTATCGTGGTCCCTGAGGGCTGGCAGGGATCACATAATGATCGTGAGTCACCCCTGAGGGAAGTCTGACAGGGACAGAGTCCCTAGAATGGGCGCCAAGCTGAGGCTCGCGTTGCATTTTAAAAGCCAAGATGAAGTAACAGAGGTGAAATGGGAAGGAAAACAATCAGTGTGACGACTGTGGTATTTTTCTGCACTCGGGGCTCAGATATCAGAAGATGGAGTCATTTGTCTACTCCTCTGTACCAGAGGCATATTGTTAAATTGGTTAATGGAAAGGAAAAATGTTTCACAGATAATGTTATTCTTTATGTGAAGCACCATCTGTGTATTGAGTTCTGAATGTTCTTGGATATGGAAGAGGAAATGTTATGGAATTTCAAGTTTGCCTGTGCTGTCTTTATCTTGGGTAGAGTATGACAAACATAATCACATTTATCTCCTGGAGCATAAAGAGTTTTAATCACCCTATTAACCAGGATGACATTTTTCACAGACTTAAAAAGGAATAGAACAGACATTATCTCCCCATAAGCAATCCATTTCATGGGGGCTGAGCACTAGGAATTTTTTACCGGCTGCATAACACGAGCCATTTCCACTCCGTGCTAAGCCAGCACGAAGGCGGCTTTCAGTGAGCATGCCGCCTACCCCAGTTGAGCGTTACGCTTTATATTTAGACTCTCAGCCCCCCAAAGAGCTGTTAGAGAAAGCGAGGTAGAGGAAACACAGTGGGCAGAGAAGGGCGGACTTCCGAGGCCTTGGGATTTATTCAAGAAAAAACACCATGTACCCTTGTAAGTGACTGCTGTCCCGTAAGAATGGATCCATGGGCTGCCTTATTATCAGAGTCAAGAAAACTGTGGTTTCTGCACAACCTGGGAATGGCAAATAGGGCATGGGAGCTGCCCCAGAAGATGCAGAGCGGCCTGTCTGCACCAGAGCACGGGGCCTAATACGAGGAGGCGTGGCTGCCCAGGCCCAGGGGTGGCCCCGGGTGACCCGCACTCCCTCTCACTGACGCCACCGGCCTGGGGGAAAGCCGTCCTTCACCTGCTCAGTTAAAAGGTGGTGCCTGATCTCATCCGTCACACTCTGCCTCATTCCATGGCTAGTTAGGGACTCAACTTGCAAATTAATCATTGCAACCTAAGGGGGAAATGTAAGAATTAGGGTGGGGGGAAGCCCATGGGGAAAAAGTAATTAAAATCCACTATTTAGCTCTTTCACTTGGGGCAAGATTTAATCTCCTAAATTTGGTTCATGAAAAATGTTGTATATTTCACCTCATTTTCATGTATTTTCCCTAAAAGTAAAATAAATAGTTAAGTACAGATGAAAATCAGCTAGGTGAAATTTAGAAAAAAATTCCTCCAAATAAATTTCTCATGAAAAGTAGCAGAATACACATTTTTATAGCATTTTATCATGTTCAAGTGAGATTTTTTTTTCCTTTCTGCCAGGAGTCACTGAACACATCCAGTAGTTGGGTCTCTATTGGTGTTGCCAGGATTGTCAGAGGCTGTGATTCTGAGTCTAGAGAGGAGAGCAAGTGCCTCTTGCCAGCAGAGCCATTCACCTGTAACCACGAGGGAGGCTGTGGGCCCGTTTTGTCTGATGGCAGGTGACTGTTGGAGAAAAGTGGGCCAGCAGGGACAAGCAGCACACAGTACAGTTTCAGCTCTCCTGCCCCAGCATCCGCACACAGTACAGTTTCAGCTCTCCTGCCCCCACATCCGCGAGCGGTTTGGGTCAGACACTGGTGAGCACGAGCACTTACTGAAAAAGAAAACAAGGGCAGGAGGAGGCAGGGGAGGGTGTAGTGTCCTCAATGCCAGACCGGGGGAGGCCACTCTAATGGACTCTCCTAAGAAGCGGAATCTGGCCAACAGGACCACGGCGCGGTGCGTTTATGGGACCCCGCTACCTGCCTGTCTGAAAACACTCCCCACACTCAGCTTCCACCCGCCAGGCTCCGAGGGGGGTCCAGGTCCGCAGCCGTCCTGCTCCTGGTGAGACTGAATCACCGCTCGCCCATGCTGACCACATTGACCTCAGCCACCGAAACTCCAGAAAATAAAACTCCCATCGGAATGATGAACACCTCGCCTCTCAGGTGGGTCCTGGATTCCCAGGCGTTTCCAACTCCCAGGCCTATAGCTAGAGAGTCCAAAGATTAAAAATTCAAGCAAGCTTGCAATGCACGCACCAGCGCTGACCCCCTGGGCAGGAGGGAGCAGCTAAAATGAAGATCCACAGATGCACGTACTACTCAGGGCGACCCGGAGTCCCACCGAGGAGGTGGCAGACTGGCGTGTGGGGCCAGGCCAGGTCCCAGATGGGGGCATCGCTAAACACAGGGCCTCCGAGGAACCCGCCACTGCCCGCGTTATCTCTGAAGGCCCACACTCAAGGGTTGTGTTGGGCGATGCCCCCCAGGAATGAGGCTCCTTCCTCATGTGGGGGGCGGAGAGCTCTATTTTGCAAGGAGAACCGAGTTGAAGTTCTTCTCTGAGAGGAAGCGTGGGAAAGGCACAGGGATCACCTGGGCACCGGCTGTTGGTTGAAGAAACCAGAGAGAAATCAACCCACCACCCACACCCCTGGGAACCTACCGTGCCCTCAAAGGCAGTCCAATCCTCCTACCTGATCTACCCGCTGTGCCTTTGCCATCAGCGGCAGCATGACATCCTCCGATCGCACAGCCCCTGCATCACCCTGAGCTGAGTGCCGTCACCGCTAATTACTCAGCACGGCCAGGCCTCCGTTGTCCTGGGCTGTGACAGGGGAGATCTCAGGCAAGTTCGGCAGGAGGTCAACGGCATCCCCTCCGGCCCCATGTGCGAAACCACACTCCGTGCCTGG